AAATAAAATATAAGCAAAGATATAAGCAATGCTCTAAAGAAAATTAAGCAGGGGAAGGATTGACTGGGGGCAAGAATGGAGGAAGAGATTTGCCTTAAAATAGAACAGTCTTTAAGGAGGTGATATTTGAACAAATACCTGAATCAAGTGAGGAGGAGACCTTCGGGAATAAAAAAGCATTCTAGGAAGAGGAGACCACAAGTGCAAAGGCCCTGTGGTTGATATAGCTTGGTGCTTTCAGGGAACAGCAAGTGTGGCTGTAAGAGATAGGCAAAAAGGAAGGGTGGGAAGAAGAAAGGTAGGAGAGAGCAGCAGGGCCAGGTCATGTAGGTGCCTGAAGAATAGTAAATCACAGTGTTAGTGAATCCAAGAGAACCTGAGTCCTATCCTCGTATCCTCTGTGCCTTGTAAACCAAGCCTAACACTCTGCAGTGGCTCACTAAATAGTTGCTGAATGAATGAATGTTGGAAATGAACATTTATGTATGGAACTTCATATCTTGGACTTATATGAACCATTAAGTAAAGATATTATGGCACAGTGAGGGCATAGTAAGGTATAGTATGATCCAAATGATAAAGCTCAGATGACTTGAATATCTGTTGTCATTTAAATATGAAAATTTGAGTCAAATCTGTATATTTTATTCACTATGTCTTGACATTATAAACACTGCTGTTGATTAAGACCAAATAGTAAAACATACTTGAAATGAATGTAAAACAATTAAGACGGTAACATTTTTGGTCTTCCCTCATCCCCCTTCCAGTGCAAATACACAACCTCTGGCCTCATTTCGAATTTTCCCTTGTGCAACTCTGCCATTTCCCTCCTAGAGATTTTAAAGAAACTCATCTCTAGCACAAAGGCCTATATTTGCAGAAGAAGAAATTAGCATCTTTTCCAATAAATTGACAGATTCCCAAAAAGGCAGAAAGGGGAGTAGGGAGAGAGAAATTATTTATAGAAGTATAAATTCTAAAGGCACCTAATTAATTGTTTAAATGGATCTATAAGTGGGAATGGAAAAACTCCAGAAGATGGCTAATCATTTAAAGCTTTTGTCTCCATGAAGTTGAACACAGGGGGAGATGTGAACATTTCAAAATAGATGACACCAAAAATTTAACCAACTCATCATGAAATATGTATGAACCAGCATTCTTACTGGTGTGGGTCAACGTAGCTGTCTCTGTGTAAGCACTCGTGTTCAGCCCTAAGCTTACTCGTGATTAAGTGACCTGGGGTGAGGTCCGTCCCCTCTTCCAAATTCAGTGTCCCTATCTCTGAGGGGGTAGGACTTGGGTTTCTGGGTCCCTGAAGCACTAAGCTCTGTGACCTGTTTTATCTGTAGCCCCACATTATTGTCTTTCTGGAGAACAGTGACCACTGTCACACAGTGGGGGTGTGGCTCCCTGTGACACTCAGATGATTTTGTGGATGGGATGTCATAGGGGAGATGGGATGCTCCCATCTGCAGACAGAGCCAGATATTGGGCTGGACCTTGTGAGAGCACAAGTTGACATGTGGTCTAAGTTTTCTTAGAACCATAGACTCCCTAGGTACTGTGGTCCAAATTCTATCT